GAGGCTTCCTGGAAAACAAGAAAGACACAGGGATCACCCAGTGACAGAGAAATGGATGAGATTTACATGAACAACATGGACGTGAGTGTAGGTAATGAAGGGCCCATCCTAATCTTAATGCCCCCCTTGCTCCTATAATCCCTCCTTCCTCTCTTCCACTGAACTCTAGGATCTTGGCCAAGTGCACGGCTGTAGGTCATTGAATCTGCTTCCATCAGTCACTGGATGTAGGTGGTATGATGATCTAAGTAATCATGTTGTCTGTATTCTAAATATTTTTGTTTATATCCACAGATTTATTTATGCTGCTCTCAAAATTAGCCAAAGAAACGCCTTTTGCAGTGAGTAATGGTAAATGAAGATACCCATATCTGTTCAATGTGCTAAGTATAAATGACTCTGAGTGGCCATCTGTTTATGTGTCATCTATATCAGCCTCCCAGCATCCAGAGTTCATGGAATATCATAGAAAGGGGGGAAGAAAGAATGTAAGAGGTGCCAGATAAGAAGTAAATACGTGAAATGCTGACTTCTGGAAATGACACAGCTGGTACACATATCAACTCATAGCAGCTATCGTTGCCTTCACAAGAGCTGCACAAAAGCAAGCTAGTAGTAAATATTCCAACATGGATGGGAGAAGAGTCCTGAGGTCCCACCTATGGCTGTTGAAGGAGAGAGATTCATTCTCCTATAAGGTCACTCACTAGTGCTAGTATGTTGCCCATGCCTCAGTGCAAGCCCAATACTTATATATGTATGGGCAACACAAATAGAATCTGGAGATTATTAATAACATTTAACAAATAAAAGAGCCTTGAACTGTTTTCTGCACGGGCTTGATTGGTTTTTCTTGGGTTTTATGCAGTGGTGAAAAACAATGTCATTATGAAATTTATAGGCAAATGGATGGAACTAGAAAAAAAAATCATCCCAAGTGAGGTAACCCAGACCCAGAAAGACAAACATGGTATGTACTCACTCTTAAGTGAATATTAGATGCAAAGCAAAGGATAACCAGGCTACAATCCACAACTTCAGAGAAGCTAGATAAAGAGGAGGACACTAAGAGGGCCATACATGGATCACCCTAGGAAGGGAAAACAGTTAAGCTATCCTGGGTAAATTGGGAGGAAGGAATAGAGGGGAGGGGATGGAAAGTTGAAATATGAGGGCTTGAGATGGCCAGTTTGGGAAGAGATGGGGAGGTAGAGCAATGAAAGAGATATCTTGACAGAGTGTACCATTAAGGGGATGGGAAGAAATCTGTAGCTAGGGAAACCCCCCAGGAACTCACAAGATTGTTCCCAGCTAAGACTCATAGCAATGGTGGACAGGGTGCTTAAACTAGCCTTCCCCTGCACTTAGATTGGTGTCTACCCTTATTGTCGTCATAGAACCTACATCCAGTGACTGATGGAAGCAGATGCAGCAACCTACAGCCAAGAACTTGGCCAAGAACCTGGAGTTCAGTTGAAGAGAGGGAGGAAGGATTATAGGAGCAAGGGGGTCAGAATCATGATGGGAAAAATTACAGAGATAGCTGACCCAAGCTAGTGGGAGCGCAGGGACTCTGAACTGACAGCTGGGGAGCCTGCGTTGGACCAAACTAGGCCTTCTGAATGTGGATGAAAGTTGTGTGGCTTGATGTGTTTTTTTGATATCCTGGCAATGGGACCAGGTCTTATCCAAGGTACATGAACTGACTTTTTAGAACCCATTCCCCATGGTGTGATGCCTTACTCAGCCTTGATGCCGGGGGAAGGGGCTAGGTCAGGCCCCAACTTGGTATGTCAGCCTGTGTTGACTACCCAAGGGAGGCCTTACCCTCTATGAGGAGGGGATGGGGGAGGGATGGGTATAGGTGTGGGGAGCAGGAGAAGGGGAGGGAAGGGGAACAAGGGTTAGTATGTAAAA